CGTTGGAATTGAAAAGAGCGGCCAGCCAATTCAAATAATTAAAGGACTCTCTAGCTCACAAATTGCGCGCTCCAATCTTCCATCGCAATCCTGCGATAGGCGGCGGGTGCGGCGTGTGCGACGCCGTGTTAGGGGAGAAGTTCCCGGATCCCACCATACCCACTATAAGGGAGACGGACAGTAGGAACGGTTTTGGGTAATCGATCCGTCGCACGCGGCTGTCGCGGAGCATTTGCTTTGTTATAACAGTTCTAGCGTTCTTCATACAGCTCAATCGCTATGCGCTTGTCACTTTGGCACGATTCTACTACTAGTTCTATTGTTCCTGTATTTCTTACTTGTTGCTGCATTCTGCTACATTCCTTTGCGCGCGGCGTCTTCTCACCGCCACGCAACAATTTTGTTCCTACTGCACCACACCCCCACTATAAACACGTAAATGCCACCCACACATCTACGCACATACACACAACACTAATATTTACACAGATTTATACCCAGAAACACTTACGCACTATTTATGAACTATGTGTTACTCATTGATCATGCCAAACGCACAACTGAACGGCTGCTGTGGCTCCTCATTCCTTGATAATATTGCCCACAAAAAAAAACATTTTTAAGCTAGCGCAAGAAGAGAGTACAGCCCGCAGTCTGCACCGCATGCCGAAAGTACAAAATCTGTCACGCGCCAACATCAATAGATATGTATTGATTGGAGGAACAATTGCGAAACGCATCGCGTCACCACGCAGCACGGCCATGGGTTCTAAAATGAATAATTTTTTCCCATATGAACATGTTCCCTATCTTATTCATTCACTAGTTATTTATGACCCATACCTTCTTATGTGAAATAATTCTCAGGTAAAAACATATTTCAGGGAAGGGGACAACTCTCTTCTCCAACACTAAGCGCTTGAGCGCAGAGAAGGAGGGTAGGCAACTAAAACTCACCTCATAGTCAATCCATATTGAATGCGTGTATTAAATAATAACCGGAAGAGTATATACCGAGACTTCTGCTGAACTACTCACTAAGCCTAGGATTGTTGACGCTTTCTTAATCTAAAGTACCACCTCAGGCTTTACTTTAGGTTTTCTCGAGATTTCTAACGTTCATGAATCTAAAGCTTCTGTTATTTTTTCATCGAATTCTTCTTCTACTCATTTCCGTCCCCCCCCCCCCCCGTCCCTTTTTTTAACTTTCCATTTACGAAAGTAACACTCTCGCACATCAAAAATAGTTGGGATCTGGTAGATGAGGGAAGGGGAATCAGAATTGAACGTTACAAACGCAGAAAGGACTTATTGTTTTGCTAAGCAGAAGATCTCCGAAAAAAGAACTAAATTAATGAATAAGTCGAGCATGAGTATGAAAATGGTGGAAAGAAGCGAACAACGTAATAAGAAAAACAAGTCCTCCACTTGCTAGGCCTCACCCAAAATCTAGCACTACGGGCGGCTTTCAGACCTCTACGACGCAACCGATGGCAGCAGCGCTGGCCACGTGTGACAACGCAACACACTAACGGACCACGCGCCCTCGGAAGTTACGCGGGCTTGACGCAATCTGTCCAGCGTTGTCAGCACGTGGCCAGCCAGCGCTGCCGCCGGTCGGTCGCAGAAGTTTGAACGCAGCCACTGGCGTTAGATTACTTTGGTGTTCTAGAAGGCAAGAAAATAATGGGAATCGACTGATTTGCTATGCCGATCGACTTCAGAGGACCGCTTTCTCTAGCAAATCATATCTTTCGCAATAGGATTCTCCTCAGGGTTCTAGAAAACAAGAAAAATGTGATAATGCTCAGCAGATATTTCAGTAGTTCAGAATCAGCACTGATGAAAATAAACAAGTCTTAGCGAGAACTCACAAATACAACTTAATTTTTATTTCTTCTTCGGATGCGTACAATTTGATGAGATTGTGTGAGCACCGAAGTCTTGTACACAGATAAGGACAATAACTCCAAAAGTAAGCCGATAAGTTATCGAATTCAATTCAATGATCAAATTTCAATTGGAAATCATAGAAGCTCAGAGAGCACGGCAATGGATCTCTAGCTTCAGTTAAAGAGATGTGTTACTGTGAAAGAACTGAATGAAGAAAGTGGTTTGTGTTTGGTGGGCTGATTGATGTGAGAAAGCGATGGCAAATTGAGAAAGTGAAATGAAAATCGCAGAGCTTGGAAAGTGATAGGTAAATTAAATATTGTTGAATGGTTACATCAGAGGGAAAAGAAAAAATGATGGCAGAATCATCGGAAACATCGAATAGAAATCATGAGTGGTCACGCTCCAGGCGTTAGATCAATCATGTGCTAAGTCATTACCGCACTTCAAACATTATAAAGAATTGAGCAAACCTAAACACACACACACATGAAAAGCCTAACTAGAATTGTGAGGCAGGAATGCCTGAGTCATTCGAAGTGAGTTTTCACTGTAATCAGAACACAAACTCATATCGTTTTCTTCATAATCATCGACTAGTTGCGAATCCAACATCGCGTTCTCCTTTTCCCTAATTCGAAAGCCTCTCATTGAAATGTCCACTGTTTCGTTGCCTACGGTTTGGCCCAACGCCAAACGAGCAGCTCTGGCTACATCCATATCGTCGTCATTCGCCAGCCGATCCAGTACAGTCTTCACAGTCAAGGGCGTTAACCGCTTTGAATCGCTCGCTATAGCATGCGATTGCAGTGTTGAGTCACAATGGGAAAGGGCTCGGCAAACTGCAATCCGGACGTTGACAACACCTGCAACTGTTTCGGTTTATTGGGCGTTCACGGAAGTGTAGCGAAAGTTAAACATACTGTCGGTAGCCATTGAGATTAAATGAGGTAAAAGGAAGAATCGGAACTGTTCCATTGACAATGAGTGATCTAGTAACACTCGCTCACACACGTAAGCAAACCTGAATTGATCAGCATATTAAAGGAACAATACCGAAAGAGTGACTTTTCAAAGAACTTTAATGTCATCCTGTATCAGTGGAAGATAACTCATCTACTACCGAATGATTATGATTAAAAACACCAGGAATACAGAGCTCAAACAAAAGGTCAAAAAGAGCATCAAAACCTACGTTTGCCTTCGCGTCCATTTTTGTGTATTTGCGAAACCATTAACTAGATCTTGGATAAAGAGCTCAGTCAATGTGGAGCCTGTTGGAGAATCACTCGACTCAATACTTCCGACCAGGTCAGACCATTCATGATCGACTAGCCGGGCGAGTATTTGTGAGAGAAGATGAACAGCTTCCTTCCGCACTTCCGAAACTCGATCTAAAGATGGCTTGTGTAGTGAAGCGGAAGCAGAAACCGAGATACTCGAAGCATAATAACATTTGCCTCTGGGTAAGAATTTTACATCGCACGTAAAATCGTGCTGTACGAAGTTGGGAAGATGTTTCGGCCTGAGAGTAGTAACTGTTTCGTGTAAATGAAATTCTTTCAAACATACCGTTAGCCAGCGTCAGGGCGATTGCACTCATCGTTCGATTGATCTCCTCAATACCATACATCTCACAAAGCTTGTTGCATTGTCTGGAACAAAACTTATTTGGTAAAACTAGGAACGCAACCATAATTTTATGCATAAAGCACATAGTTCAGGTGCATTGTACACTACTTAATGAAAGTTGCCGAAGTAAAACTTGACGTAAAAAAAGCCAGACGCACAGCTACTGTTCGGTCTTGATGGGGCAACATAGATGAAACATCAAACAGCAACTTGCATTAAACAGGGAATGGCATCGGAAAATGATCATCCTTTAAACAAAAGCCCACCCCTTATTGAGCCTGAGCAAAATACGAAAAA